CGAGTCCCGCATCGGGCTCCCTGCTCCTTGGGAGCCTGCTTCTCCCTCTGCCTCTCTCTCTCTCATGAATAAATAAATAAAATCTTTAAAAAAAATAAAATAAAATAAATAATAAATTGTTTTAATACGGGAAATATATGTAGTTATCTTTTTAGAAGAGTCTTTATTTATTTTTAATTAAATTTTTTTTAAAGTAGGCTCCATGCCCAGTGTGGAGCCCAATGCAGGGCTTGAACCCATGACCCTGAGATCAAGACCTGAGTTGAGATCGAAAGTCAGACGCTCAGCCAACTGAGCCACCCAGGTGCCCAAGAGTCTTTTTAAATATAAATACCAAAATGTTTTTGAAAAAAATACCAAATGTTTTTGAAAAAAATATTAAAAATTTCCATTGATGGTATACTTACATTGTAAGCCACATAGGTCCATTTGGACACTTTCACTGGAACCCACATAGATGTCCCTAAGGTAAAGGAAATTAATTTGTTTGGCTTGCTTTTAAAATATGAAACCATTACTTTTATTGAATGCTCACGAAATACTTCTCAATTACAACAAGATTTGAAAAAGAAGTGGTTTCCTGAACAATAGCTATTTTAAAATAAGAAATCTAGTAAGATGTTATCTGTGCTCATCATCAACTAGCATTCACATCAAGTAAAGCATTTTAAATTTATTTTGTGCCTTTACTCTAAGGATGTATCAATAAAAAAGAAATAAATTATCTTATTTTCCAAACTGAGTATAACAGGTATTATATTAACAGCAAGTGATATGCTGTTAAACCAAAAGAAGAATGAAAAATGACTGATACTGAAAAGTCAAAAATAATGATAGTGTTTTACATGACTGTCAGGAAATAGAGACATTTAACTCTATCGTTAAAACTTTGTACTTCTCATGTTATTTTCAGAACAAAATTTTTATCAGCAACATCAACTGTTTCCTTTTTCCCTTCCTTAATCAAGAACCTCATAAGAAACCATCATAGAGAAATTAATAAAACATAATAGGATTATAGTAGCTAAGTACCACAGTTTCAAAGACTTCACTAATAACAAATTTACCTAAAAATAAAACTTGATTTAAAATAAAAATATGTTATTACCACAAACCTGTTAAGTCAGAAATTATTGCTGGATTTTCCTCAAAGTGTTTTGCTGGGTGTCTTATAAAGTGGTGATTCAAAACCGACAATTTCTTCTTGGGATTTTGAGTTATCTAGAAAGAATAATGATATATTTTGTATCTTTTTATATCCACTGTGATAGTTCAATGAAACTTTGCAGCAAGTAATAGTGATAAGAGCCAACAGTTACTTATTCTGGGCCAGGCACTGTTCTAAGTATTTAATATGTTATTAACTCATTTAACCATCACAAGAGCTCTAGGAGATAATAATCCTTTTATCTGCATTTTTACTAAGAAACCAAAGCACCAGAGAAATTAAGGAACTTGCCCAAGGTCATACTCCTATTAACAGTCTGGGCCAGGATTCAAACTCAGGCAGTCTGGCTCCAGAGCCCATGCTTTTAATTATTATTCAACTAGTGCCTCTCAAGTAACAGTTAAGAATAAAACATACAAAGGTGTATAGAGACAGATGAGAACTTAAGAGATCCTCCAGTCTAGTGATTCCAACACACTACTTTCCAAACTCAGACCAGTACCAATCCCACAACAAAAAATTCACTGGTCATCAGAGAAAATATGAATTGCCAACTGTCCTTCCTTGGAAACTACTTTGCTTTATCCTGTCTTACTTTCATTGTGCCTAAATATCCTTTCTTTCATGAAATAAAAATAGGATTTTTTGTTGTCTGTTTTAAAATATCCTAGCACAATAAATGTCTGCAACTTTATACCAATTCCTCCTTTAAAGAAAAAAAAAAATTACTTGGGTCTAAAATCCATTCAGAATCTACCACTATTCAACTCTATAGTTTAAGCCCTGAGGCCCTGACAGGTAAGTGATTTTCTCAACAACATAATGAGAGAATGACAAAGAAATGACAGTGAGGACCCGGGTCTGGTAAATCTTTTCAATTCCTTAGGAAGTCACCCAGCATTTGCTTGAATATTTATTTCTAACTTGCTATTGTGAAAAATAATACATTCCAATTTTAATAATTCTTGTGAGGAGGATGCTCTGCCATATTTAGAGCAAATATCTGACTCCCTGTTACTTTGATATATTAAGTTAGGGGCCAGCCCTTCAAGAAACTGAAGACTGTTACATCCCCCATCCAATAAAACATTTCTTTACAGATTAAACAACTTCAAAAACATCAACTATTTTTCATAGAACTGTTTCAAACCCTTCATCACCCTGACTGCCTTCCCTGGATAAACTCAAGTTTGTTAATGTCCTCCTTATAATACAACATACAAAATAGAATATAGTTCCTTAGATATCTAACTATAGTAGAAGGCAGTGGAAATTTTATCTTCATTGATGCAAACTCAATACTTCAATCAACTCAATCTAATATAAAACTAGTTTTGACTTTTTTTAAAAGCAGCCACATCTGTTCACAATCATTTAAAAGTAATAGGTCTTGGGCGCCTGGGTGGCTCAGTTGGTTAAGTGACTGCCTTCGGCTCAGGTCATGATCCTGGAGTCCCGGGATCGAGTCCCGCATCGGGCTCCCTGCTC